CCACTAATTTGTAAACTAGTGATCAAATTCTGTAAAGTTTGAGAGGAAATAGTGAGCTAATAATTGCCTGTGACTAATCATCCCCCCGCCCCAATACAAAACTGCTTCCTGCGGTAGTGTAGAACCAAGTAGAATGTAGATTGCTCACAGACTGAATTTTGTTCCAAATTCCAAGCTGCAAGCAAGCTATATATAGTAGAATTGCAGGATATGCTAAAAGTTCTCTCTGTCTACTTTTTTGATAACATGAAACAACTCGACCCCAAAATTGAGCTGCTGCGTACTAAATACAAAAACATATTTATCATTTTTAGAGCATTACAGTTCCCAACAGAAGGCTGGCTGCGTATGAGTATAGGCAACTGTGGTATCACTTGGCTGACTATCAAACCGAATGGTCGTGTCAGCTTACGAAGCATGAGCGACACAGGTCATTTACATCCACATCTCATCACGCGAAATTGATAGTTTGATAAATAATGAAATTAGCTTTATTTTCATAATTGATGGTGGTCCGAACTGGAACGTTTTGGCTCTGGAGGAGATTAATTTCCTGCGCAAAACTTCTACCAATTATGAAAATCTGCGCAAGTAATTTCTGGGGAATTTGCGCAAAATTGCGCAAAATGCTTTTGTGAACCAAGAACTAAGCAGATTTCTGATCTTCCTATATTCGACAAAAACACTTTCTGACTGCAAGAACGCCGGTTTGCCATAATTGTTTGTGGAAAATGTCCATTATATATTGCGTATTTTTCCAAGGAAAAATCTTTCCTTCGCAAAAAAAAATTTCAGTCTGGCTGGTTGTTAACTTTAGACATGGAGAAAATTTTTGGTATTAAGAATATTAAATCAGATCTCTAAATTCTATTTAGTTTGCTTCAAATTTTACTTCTAGACTGGTCTACTTCATTAATTTCACATAATGAAAAATTAACATCATCTTTTCACGCTTATAACCACCATCTTCAGATCATGCTTAGTGAGATTCATCTAGATATGTTTGCACTACTAAGCCAAGAAAACTTGGTAATTTGTTAAATTGGTCGCACGAATTTACTAATATTTTGCATATTTATTTCAAGCCGGGGGCGATGTACTTCGCTCGCACGAATCTCGAATTATTGTATTTTATATTCATAGTACCAACCCAAGACCGCTGTAAATTGTCACATGAAATTAAAAATGTATCAAATGCTTTCTGGACTTCTTTGTCAAATTATCTTCTACAGGGTGTAATAAAAAAACGAGACGTTTGAATGAATTCCCAGGAGCATAAAATCTTGTGCTTAACAACAATAGCTTGATTTCGAAAGGTCTCGTTTTTTTATACACCCTGTACGCCGTAATTAATGCAAGTATTATTGACAAATTGGACAGAAATTTTTGTCGTACGCCTCCCAGGGGAAAAGGAGTGTTTTGGAATTTGCATATTTGAAAGTGTGCACCATCATTTGCATAATGGCTCGCCTAAACGGCAGAGTTTTTTTTCACAACGTAGTGCGATGTCTGGCGCGAGCAATAGTCGCATTTGGGACACGTGAAACTGAGAAATATTTCAGCTGATTCTGTGTGTGTATGTACCAGAATTGTACCTAAATTCCAATGTTCAAAGATGGGTAAAGCCGACAATGGGTGAATAAATGAACGTGATGTTTGTCAGATGTTTGGGTTGAAGAATGAAGGAAGTTTCATGCCTTTAATATCTTTGTGAGTATATTATTCGTATGAATGCATTGCCGTACGATGGTATGCAGAAGTTGTCTTGTTTACTAATAATTCTTCACCAAATCTTCATTCATTTGGCTCTATATACTAAGGGCCTGTTCATATGGGCAAAAGTTATCCCGGTTAGCGAGAAAACTTTTCGACTAGCCAAATACTTTTGTTCTGTTCATATGGAGAAACTTTATCCCGCTCAGGCTGGGTAAAGTTTTCGGCTGTGACGTGGCACTGAACATTAATTGAGTTGAAAAGTTGCTGACACGACAGAAAGTTATCCCGCTAAGCGGGAAAGTTGTGTTCATAGAGGGCCCTGAAGGGGTAAAATGGGAACTGGGATTGATCTATTTTTAGACTGGGAAAATGGGATTTGGGTTGCTGGGACTGGGATTTGGCCACTGGGAATGGGAAATGAAGTCCTCAAAAATGGGAATGGGATTGAGGTAATGCGAGTCGATTCCCAATTTTTCTGCGTTTTGAGTATTTTAAAATACAATTTTGATCCGTTTTTGGTGTCTTTGGTCATGATTTTTGTTGTTAACTATATTATTCATAGCACTACCTGCGAACAGGCATACTCTGGCACCCGGAATTCTGGGTTTTCTGATTATGCATGTCTCAGAATGATGCAAATGCCATTTCCGGGATTCAAATTTAAAAATTTTCTGTGCCTTCGGCACGAGCCCCCTCAGTATTTCATAAAAGGTCCACCACTTGCACACACGGTGGCTTAAAAGGTCTTAAAACTGTTTATTCTACCGATAAATAAAGGGTTTTTTATTGACTGGGATTTCAATAACTGGGACTGGGATTTCTAATAAAAATCCAACTGGGACTGGGATTTTGCCAAAATTTCAGGTGGGAAATGGGATTGGGACCCCCCTTCAGGACCCTCTTCATATGGGGAAAACATTGTCCCGGTCACCGAGATCTCGCCTGTCAACAAGCGAGATCTCGGTATATCACGGGAAAACTTTTCGTCTCATATGAACGCAATGTAACTTTTCATATTATTTTCGTAACAAGGCGAGATCTCGCTTCAGTGTAAACTTGTCGAAAAGTTTTCTCGCTAACCGGCCGGGGATAATTTCTGCCCATATGAACAGGCCCTAAATGTTAAAATGAGACCTAACGCGATTAAAACGAAATTAAAACGAGATCAAAGATTAAAATACACCAAGTTTAATGTATACTCGTACACAATCCGAGTCTACTTGCCGCACATTACCATGCACATTGTTAATTTCGAGGAGTTAATTTAACTCGACCAAATTGGAATCAAATCATGAGGTACATACGAATATAGACGACACAAGAAGTATAAAAAACATTTAACTTATAAATACTAAACTTTAGTACGAGTTATACAGTTTATACCAATCAACGACTGATTTAACAAAGCTTGAAAAAATCACTATCCGGTGCCCAGGTCGTTACGTCTCCATCAATCCGACGCTTTCTTACAACATATAAACTTACACTTCTGCCGTTCTGGAATCAGTCGATCGAACTGGTCGAGTAGGCCAACTGAGACAATCTGTGATAGAAGATATTAGTCGCTGCCTTCCTCAAGCTTCGTATGTGTTAAACTTTTTAAGCTTCAGTATAAATTTTACTTATGAAAGCTATCACTTGTGGGACCTTTATGGATTTGAACAGAGCGTAAAAAGTTAGTTAATAAGTTCACAAGGTTTTTTGATTTAGTGCAATAATTTCGAAGATATAGACCTCTAAACTACCTACAATTCCTGAGTCCCAGGCTCCTATGCACAATGGACCGTTTGGAAAAAAGGCGAAATTCAATAGCCGTGTTTAGAGCCCAGGAGGCTGGGACTCAGGAACAATCCGTTGTTTGAAGGCCTCTATCCTCAAAACTATTGCACTAAATCAAAAAAATCTTTTCGAACTTATTAACTAACTTTTTACGCTCTATTCAAATCCATAAAGGTCCCACAAGTGATATAGGCACTTTAAACAAAAACCTGATAGTTCAAGCCATTGCTCAGAGAGTTGATGAATGTTACAACTCACTCTCTCGATGAAAATTGAGGAGTGTTTTCGCTCGTTTGACCGCTAATATCCAGTCAACTCTCATGCAACTCTTGTTCTCGTTTGACCGGCGCATGAGAGTTGAGGAAATTCTCAGGCAAACTGTCGCTTCTCAACTCTCATCTTTGCCGGTTTGACCGGGGCTGTATACACTGAGACTGAGTTGATGAGAGTTGCAAGTCTCGCTCGCGTTTCTATCAGTAATAGAAATTTATAATAAAATGTCAGAAATTCCAAAATGTTTTGCTATTAGTATTATAGCGTTAATTGATTTCACGGATGCCTCCATATCTGATATTCATACTTGTGTCAAATTAAGTCTACACATCCTGTCAATGTGGTGCTTTCTTCACAAAATGCACAATACTTTCACTTAGCCGTCCCACTACAACTCTTGTTCTCAATTTGACCGGGGTATGAGAGTTATCAGTCAACTCTCATGCAAACTCTCGCTTCTAAAACAATCATCAACCCTTATTCTCGTTTTACCAGGGCTACAGTTGCACCTGCTGGTACTTGAGAACTTCGTGAATTGGTGATTCACTGATGGAAACTGAGGTCAGTATTATTATTTTATCATTAAAACTGGCATTCACATCAAAACTCGGTTTCGATAATATTTTATTTTTTGCAGTATATAATACAATATTAGTATATTTAAATATTATTATAAGAAGCCTAAATATAACTCCCATATCAATATATTCCTTGTAGGTGAGGGTATTTTAATAACATAGTCTTTTTATTCAACATATACCGAACATAGAGACCAAAATATGTTCGGTATATCAAAATATGTTCGGCTTTTTTGACATTTATTGTGGTTTGTTTCGTATTAAATAGATCCCAACCAGGATTCCACAGTGTGCATGTTTAGTGAGAAACCAGTTTAGAAATATCGCACTCCAGTAACTGTATACGAGTCATTGTCAATGCCATGACTACCAGTCCCAGTCCAATGGATCCTGTGGCCGCGCCTCGTCTATGGTCATCAATCCCGTATGATCATTTGGTATCTCTATCTGCTCGTCATCACAAGGCACCCCGTAATAAAAATGCCAGTCACTATAGTCCCATTGCATGCTACCGGCCCATTTGGTACCTAATTGACACGTATCGGCGGAATTTAGCCTCGTCAACGAGTCCGAAAATCCCGAGTCGGGCGATTTTAAATTCTCAACAGACGTTGTGCTTGGTGGTTTAGAGTTTTTGTAGTTTCCCTGTCTGGTAGAACAGCGACTGTTGCCTGAGCCCGATCCGCTGGTTGAAGCGAGTCGGCTCCGACCGCTGGCAGAGTCACTACTAGTCCCCGAGCGACTTCGCCGCGATAGAGTCAGATTTATGCTTTGTTGACTTAATCTCCAAACTGGCGTCTCCTCTTTGGGTGTCTTTCCCAACTCTTTCACATCCTCCAAAAGGCTTCCGCCCAATTCCGCCTCTTCTTCGTCGCTGTACTCGACAAACGAACAAAGTCTCTCGAGGCTTCGGATTCGTTTCCGAAGTTCGGCCGAGAAATTTTCCGTCCCAGTTCGATCAACGACGCTCTCACGTGACGTCATATCGATACCGCTGCTTGAAGTCGTGAATCTCTCACGTGACGAACTCGTGACGTCATTAACTCTGTCACATGATGACCCTGTGACGTCAACATGGTCCCGTGATGAACTCGTGCCGGTAATTCTTTCACGTGATGTATCCAAGATTCGATTTTCTAGGAATTTTTTCGTGTGAATGTTTTCGTAGAACTCGTCTATCGTCCGAGCAATCGTTAAGAATTCTGACAACAAATCGGGCGGAAGAGTTTCGTCGTTTTCCATAGGAACCTTGGCCGGGTTTTCGGCGTCGTCGATAATCGTGCAGTCTTTGTCTTCGGAGCGTTTTTGTTTTGTCCCTCCTTCAGAGCGAAATTCGTATCTGTCGGAACGTTCATTATTCTGTGTTACCTCGTGTTGAAATTTAGTTGGGCGTTCTTTATGCAAATGAGCTTTAGTTTTTAACGAATTAGAATTCCTATACCTGGCACGTCTGTGTCGTTTCGACTGGCTTGCGCGTTTCATTGAGTTTCCACGGCTGAATACTTCGTCCTCGCTGTCCCGCGTGGCTCCACGAATCACGCGCAACGCAGGATGCAGGCGTGTCCTTCCCGCGTGGAGATCAGAACCGGTACACTCGTTTCCATACTCCTCGTACTCCGACGCGTCCGTAGATGTGTAATCTGACTCGGAGTACATATCTCGCTCTGTATAAGGAATTGACGATAGGCTGTTGTATCCTAGAGAGGAACTTTTCACCGTCAAACTTGGATAGTCTTGGTAAACCACTGTACTTGCACTGTCTTTTGATTTCTGGGTTCCGTAATCCGAATGCATTTCTGATTTTTGTGTATCATATTTGCATCCGTAATCCGAATGCAATTCTGTTTGGGAGTCCTCGTGAAAATGATCCGCTTTAGAGAGCTTAATTAACTCTTCCTGTTCATAAATTTTCTTCCATTCCATAAAGGATAGGTTATCCATTGCGCATGTGCACACCCGCCGTTCCTCGCCGTCGTCCTGGGACCGAGCCTCGGCCAGCTTTGCGCTGAACCTTCGTCTCCATTCCCCGTATTTCTTGGTACGCCGTTCCAGACTCGTGATCTTACAAAACTGACATAAATTATCATAAAACGATTTCTCATCTTCGGTCGAATTTTTCGAAATTCCCGAAGCCCTTGTACAGACGCTCAGCGTATCGCCGAATGAGCTCCGACCCGACTTCCTACTGGCTGGGGTTACGTTACCATGGTTACTCACTAGCACGCAACCACATGCGTCGTCATAGTAACACTGGGAACAAGTATCCTCGCCATCACCCGGCTCGACAATCTCAATCCAAGTCCTCTGCGGCGGCTGTATGTACCAACTAGAAGCTTTCAATTGCCTTTCGTAATATTTGTGAGCTTTCTCCTTCTCTCGAACGTTCGTTTCTTCGTTGTGCAGCACCGGAGATGTTGGCCATGATTCCAAATCGTCTTTTTTCCCTAACAGGAAAATAAAGCAAGCCTAGCTAAGTGAACCGGTTAATATATGTTAACGCTAAACGAAATTACTAGCAGCCCTCTTAGTTGGCGTATTTTTACCTTGGCAAAATCGGCGAATTTTTTGCCGAGGCAAGTCAGAACATTCTCAATATGCCTTTGGAATTGCCGAGTGCCGAATAGTGAGCTGTACAGACTGTGTTTACAAAACAAATGAAACTCCAAAAATCGATGACATTTTTATTTTTCATTGATAAATAAAAATGTTATCGATTTTTGGAGTTTCACTTGTTTTGTATTTTGTTAAAATACTCAGTGGTTCTAAAAAGTTTCAGACTGTGTTTAGCACACATTCTAAAGAGAAATGCTTACGTTATTTGGAAAATGTGAACCATTAGATACGTAAAGTATTGAAACCGGGCTGCTAAGTAGGTAAATATATGTTAATTTTTATGTTGTTTTTCTAAAAGCCAGAACCAGCCGACAAAATATAAAACAAAATTCGAGAAATGAAAACATCTTGAAAAACCAAAGATATATTGAGCAAAATAAGAGGTTAAATTCATGTACTGTATATTCCGATCCTATTACACAATCATTATGCTAGACCAACTGTTTCTGATTTCGTTTTATATTCTATTTTTCTAAGAGCTTAGCCAAGAACGTTTCCAGAATTTTCTACAAGCTACACATTCGCATATGTTGATGGTTTTTAATTGGAGATATAAAACCGTTATCTTTTTCACCGAGGGCTGACAGTATAAAATACAGGCATGATAGTTTGCAGCATCAGAGTTCATAGTGAAATAAAAATCTCATGATGACTCATCTTACGTAGTTAAAGCCTGGTTTTCATATATCACAATTCATCGTAGCCTGTAATTCATTAGCGATGTTCTCGTGGTCCATTCTCGGTGATCAATCAACTGAGAAAGAAAATCCTTCCCGATAGACAAAGAATTTTATACACCAATAGCCATTGTCAAAATGGAGCTTAGTTGAGCATCACCGATGAATTGCGATAACTGAAAACTAGGCTTAACAGAAATTTGCATGTACTAACATGCACTTGGTCTAGCAACGAGTTCACTTCTTAGTAAAGTACGAATTAATCCTCCGTTTTACTCACCCAAATATTTCTTAAGCATTTTTCACATTGTAATTATATTGAAGCCTAATTACTACCTATACTATCTCCAACTGTGTTGTACGGTAAAATATCCATCCATTGATAATAAGGAATCCACTTTATAAGGATTGTATTATTTCCTCTGACCTTGCTTTTACGTGTAAACATTGTATGTTTGTGAGTGATGCGGCTTGACTACCTGCCTACTACTTTATTTATAACTCATGCAAGTTTACAGGTGGCAAAAAATTGCTGCATGTTTTGTGCGCTAAACCCTGCAGTCGGTTTTTCCTATATCCATTTAATTAAAACTGTAATATTTTGTTACGATTTGTAATGCACTAAAGAATAAATAACAAAAGAGATGTACTACTTCACTACGACACTGTATTTTAGTTTGATGGTGCTCTGGCTTGTGGTATAAGCCCACATATTGTTCGGTAGCCTCCTAGGGGTAATCGGCTCCTGGCTAAAGAGTCTCGTACGAGATTTCTCTTCTATTCCGACTCTCCCGATTTGGAAAATATGTAAATGTTGGATTGCGGACAATGCCAACATCTGAATATTTCAAACTTCAAAGGCTGTTCGGCGTGTTTGCATGAATGCATATCGATTTGGCATCCCTTACCAAAAAATATAGGGGCAGTAATAGTAATAGAAATATAAACCTCTTAGCCTACGCAGGCTATAAACATTGGCGCCGGTTGGATTTTGTTTTGAGGGGGCGGGACAACTTAATACTTTGCGAGTCACAATTCTAGGAGGATCCGGGGGCATGCTCTGCATGGTGTCTGAAACGGCATTTCTTGCATTGTAGAAGAACCAGGAGAAAAATGTAGAGGTCTTAATAAATCACATTTTAACAGAGTCAAATATTGATTTCAAAATGCCCGACGTGACAATTTAATTCAGTGAGCGACAAAGTCACATAGAGGTTTATAGATTCGCGCAAAGTACGCAATACTGTTGATGACAATTTTCCTCCGCGCTGATAATACTGGAATAAAATGATAAGCGACTTTACGCGGAACAGGTTAATTAGGTGAAAATGTAAACGTGAATTGTAACATGTCCTATAATCCGCAAAAGAGAATTGCCATAGCAATCGATATCAGTAAACACAACTAAATCATGAATGCTTGCATGTGCGTAGATCGTCGCTGATTTGATCTTATCTTGCGCAAGCCATTCACGTACGCTGCATCGGGTTCTTGTTGGCATACTGAATCGAACTCCCCCGCTTAAACGGTCCAGCTAAAATTATGTGAAACAGGTAACAGCTGACCTCGGTCGCGATATCACATACTGCTAGGACAAATACCGCAATTTCAATTCTTAAGCCTGCATGGAATATTGTTGTTGTGGAAATATTTAAACATTATACGATGTTATATCTCATGGTTTCCCACGCTTGAAAAAAATGTGTCGGAAATAAATTTGCTTCCCAGGAAGAAAAATGTTTCCCAATAAATTCAGGAACACTTTTGGTTCCCTGCAGTTCGCGCACGAGTGTTATTTTTGTTGCGGAAAAAATATTTTCTGTTTTGTCCAACCATGGGGAAAGTGGTTGGGAAACAATTTTTCCCGGTTTGCCCACCGTTGGGAAACTTGGCTATAGGGAACAATGTCTTCTGGTTTGTGAACCTTGGCTTTGGAAAACATGGCTCGGAAACAATGTTTCTTGGTTTGTCCACTTTTGAGAAACATGGGCCACCTTTGGGAAACATGACACGAAAACAATGACTTCCCGTAAAACTTTTTTTAGTTTACCCCGGGCCTTAGTTTAGCTGTCCTATAAGCTGAACCTACACGCAGTTTTGGTTAACCTAAAATACAGGGGCCGGTTGTATAAAACTCTTAATCACTTTTTTAATCACTATTTTGTAGTTAAATAGTGATTAACTCTCAAATACGCGCTTCCTATTGGATGACGTTTCCACTAACTATAGTTAACTTTAATCACTTTTTTATACAACCGACCCCTGAATATCTTTTTTCGTCAACGAGCTAGGTCGTACCTAATACATATATATCTTTTATTTATTCAGAATTTAGAAACCACATCTCGGGTTATTCTTTGATGGCAAAAATTTCGCCGTTCGTGTCCAAAGAAATCGAAAAAGGTACGAAAAATATAGACTAATTTCAAGTGAAACCATGCATGCATACAATTATATAACACTTGCATATAATAGTTGTCATTCTTTCTTCCAAAATTAATTTCAACCAAGGTAATCACTGATGCTTTATAGAATATTTCAAGCCACTATAACAGTTTTATAAAGTATAAATATAAACCATTCCTTGAGAAACTAAATGTTAAAAATACCAAAGTTTATGGTAGATTTAGCAAACAAGCCTGACTATATAGTTTTAGCCGTTTTTAGTTTAATAAGCTTGCGATCGGCCGTATTTATATACATCATTATACGAGGAGTTAAACAACAGAGCAAGCTCCAATCAAGGTTTAACTCCAAAAATATAGCCTTGTTTTTGGGTGCTTTTTGCACATTTCAAAGGGCTATTCCCTCTATTTATTCAGAGGAATTTCGCTCGCATGGGTTGTTTTCAACCTCAAACTCTTGTGGGTAGCTATAGTTTTCGAATGGGTCAATTACAGAGAGCTTTTTCGATTTACCTATAACTCTAATGACTCTAATATTTTGCCGTGGTCGTTAGATGATATAGCTCTCTATGAGATAACCGGTAAAACATTGAAAACATTCCATAGATATAGTCCGTAAGTGGTTGTTCAAAAATAGCATATACTTTTAAGGGAAATCATACTTTCCAAATAATGTATTCGCCCGTTTAGCAATACCTTGACAGACAGAATCATGGCAACGTTGACAGAATGGCCGCCTGTAGACTTCAGCTATACCAATATCAACACACTCAAGAGTTTGATGTTTACACAATCAATATTCTAAACATGGTCATGGATTTTCACGTCTGGCAACTTATCACATACATTAAGATCATTAACAATTTAACATGTTTGGCATGGTGGCATTTGTTGAACGACAAGCATATGCTAGCTTGGTATATGGCGGCACTTTATTCACCAAATCCATTTTGTATTGTACAAAACAAGAAGCTTTTCTAATTAAACGTTGAGTAGGTTTGCAGCTTGTGACTTGGAATGTATCAGTAGAGGCTAACTATATAGCCTTTGTTCGTTATATAGGCATACAGCTTGTATAGAGACCATGTCAATGGGGTTAGATCATTACGACATTAGATCGGTGGGTTAGATTCGAGTAATAATAATTAATAATAATTTACTCCAAACAAAGTACCAAAAACGGTACAAAGCATACAAACAAATTACAAGATAATAGATAACAACTAATACTATACCCTCTCAATTACATAAATATATCTAATCGTAAGATTGTATAGTAGATCAAACATTGCTACTATGTCTTGAACAGTATTTGGTAGAAATTTTAAAAATGTTTCTATCTCAAGGCATAGCCATAACATATTGAAATAGGTCTGGTAAATTGAATAACATAAATGATTTATTGATTTTATTCGAACTGTCAATAAAATTATTCCTTAGGGGTACACAAACACTGCATTTCTCATGACATTTATGGATAATGTTGTTCATTCACAACTCGCAGTAAAAAATAGTGTTTGTATCGACCATTTTCAACTGATAACCGATGACGATGTGCTGAAATTGAGGTGAATTCGAGTGTGTGCTTATGCAGATTTTGGAAGAGTTTAACTATGACAACTAAACTGAAGTGTGTCTGAGTGTCTGAACTATGCAATCATATATAATTTAATTAAATGCACTTCAAAAGCATTGTCTTCGATGGTTTATGATGCAAATGAAAATCAGTAGGTGCCCTTTTAACAAAGTATGCACCAATGTCGCAACAAACATATAAATTACCCTTTATTTATTTTCCCCAATTCATATGACAATAGTTTAGAAAGATTGTTATGACATGACTATGGATTGCATATAAGTTTGTTTACGTATTTGGTTTATGCAAAAAAGGTTAAAAATTTACAATTTCACAAAATCTTGACCAAAATATTTAGAACAAAATATGTAGAACAGAAGGGTACAAGCTCATTTCTAAACAATCAATAACATCACGACAACATGTTAAATTATTGTATCGATAGCGTAAATCAGCTTGAGTCTAAAACCTTAACTTTAAGCCTTATATGAGTTTTGACGAGCTATTTCTTTTCTACATACATGCTAAAACTGTTGCTTTAAATATTAATTTGCGTGTTCGTCCGACGAGACGCAGAATTTGCCGTTTTAGCAAGCCGCCTTCATTATAACCTTCTGTATAATTTGTCGAAAACGGTTGAAGTTCAACAGTCCGTTGAAGCAACATTTCAATATCAATACAATCATTAATTGACCTTATTAACGTTCTTAATAATATAAAAAATCATTTTCATCGAGTACAGATTTTACAGAAAGTACAAATGTACAAGCTGAACTGAATCACCAGTGAATTATCTGTTGAATAAGTATACCTCTGCTTCAAAGTATAAACTATCTGCAGTGAGTGCAGATAAAGATTAAAGATTCAGTTCTGCGTGCATACATGATATCTCAAACCTGACAAACCGCTTAGGAATATAGAATTGCAGTTCCGCATAAACTGAAATTGACGTCCATATCTTAGATTTCGGAATCAGTAGACAGTAGTCGAGCCGTGCAATTTTTGTCCCAAAATGACAATTTATAGATGCAAGTTATGATAACGAATGGCAATGCTTATTGGATTATTTGACTGAAATATTAGTGTATTATATGCATAATCACTTGTTATTTTAGTTGATAAATTCTCTTACAGCATGCATGCAGTAAATATGAAGCGTTTGTGATAACCATTGACATTGTCTCACGCATTGGCAAAAACGTGCTGTTGATAATTTCATTTTCGGCGGTATATTATCGGCGGAAATTGCCGTGTTTGCCACGAAGATTGCGATGATCGAATATTGGTGATATATCATATATGGGCATGGTAAACTTGGAGATGGTACGTAGCCAAATATACAACATCTCGTGAGTTGTGAGGAAACCTTGTACAGTATATTTTAAAGAGCGAACTTATAGTTGGAACGGCGTGCTTCATGACATGAGTTTGACTCGACCAAACATTTTCGCAAGAAAGAATTTGACCCTTACTGAAGACACTGAACATACTGAATGTCTATGAAGTGGACTCTGTCATGTTTATCTTGGGTCTTGGCAGATCCGCATGGAACTTGGGTTGTTTATCAAGCCGGGAAACTTTAATACTTGACATTTTTTGGAAACCGGTGCCTATTTTCCAAAATGCTCGAACCACTTTTATTTGCACATGATATATACTTAAAGGCATCATGAATGCATGAATAGCTATAGTTTCGTTTAGATTTTTGTGCTAACTTTAATAGAAGTATAGATTGGATGTTTTAGTGGACTGAGTTAAGCCGCGATTCGTCAAAAACCTATTGGTTGAATGCCGAGCAATGCGTATAACGCGTTGCATCAAATCGTATAAAGAACTGCATCAAATGAAGACGTGATCCAAGTTTACCTTGCGAAAACGTTCAATATGCACTTTATTCATACAATATTTTATCTTCATTTTAATTATTTTACTACTGAATCAACAATTGACAATCTTTAAGTCAATTTTTGAAATGATTTTGACATAAACATAACCCATTTAAAAATTGGAACGCCATGAAATTTCAAATTACATTTAACATCGCCATTACGCGCTTGTGTCACTACCATGCAGACAAGTTATCGGCAATCGAAAAAAATTTTCCGTGTTTATTTTACATCAAACTCATCCAAAAAACTATAAAAACAGTCTGTTACACGTTAGTATAATTGCTGAATTGTCGATGGGATATTTAGCTGATTTTAGTAGATTAAACAAACAAAACATATACACTTAAACATGCCAACATTCCCAACATGTAAGTCAAAACTGATAGATTATGGTAAAAGTTTAGCAGTACAAAATCAATTCCCACTTTAGTTTGGCGATTTTTGATGCAGGAATAGATTTGAACTTCAAAACATCTTATAAACATTGAGCCTTAGCCAACAAATCACCCTTTACAAAAGTACAAACACAAAATATGTACAATGTGCAAACATAAATACCATAATTCCAGCATTCCGTCCCATTTTTCGCGTTACAACACCAAAAGGCCTGATGCGATATAGCACGTTTATTAAAGCCGGCCGTTTTGACTTTATTTTCGACTTCAAAACACCGGCATTGCTTTTCACTTTTGAATGGGAACTGAATGCCTTTATCAAATTAAGCAAACTCCTGCAGAGAGGGCCTAACTGTTTAAAAATCTAAGGTATATAATCCATGAGTCATGTTTTCAGAATGGAACCATGGCCGCTTCCGGTTTTATTGCAACTGTTAATGCTACAATATAATATATATCTGCCCGTTGTATAGCACATTCGAGTGCTCCATTTTGCTTGTAGCCAATTCGTTGCTATTAATTTATGTAAACTAGATAGTTTCACGACATCGGAATTCAATAAAGATGTGTGAACTTTATAAACTCGAGAGCAAACGTAATGACCCGCGCGATAATATTTTCCCACAACCAAGTAAAGATATGCAGTGATGCGGAGTCGTGAGCCACACGCATATACAAACTGCATACATTTTATAAGCCATTATATAAAGCATTTTAGTATGCTGTAAAGTTGTTAACACATTTTAATGTACATAATATCGTGTAAACTTACGTCGCCAACTGTAAAAGCATTCAAACGGCGCGTCTCGTTGACTTGGTAGCTTTTAGATCGACGTCCGAAGCAAGACAGCCAGCTTAATTTTCGTCTAGTTTTTTTCATGATCTTTTTCAAGTCTGTAGTCTAATACCTTTGTGATGGAATCATACTTTATGATAGTTTTATATCATTTATACTGTTGGTATAAATTAGTTGCCATAAAGTCGCTTGAACGAATCATAGTCGATAAGTAGTTGGTTATAAAATTGACCCGACAACCAGACGGGGACAGCTTGATGCTGTCTCATCTTCACTTAGCCACTTTAAACACTTTCAAACGATCATATCCCCGACTTCGTGGTCTCTGCTAGCTTGGCGGCCTCACCGCTTTTGTAATAGTATAATATCTTCGGGAAACGATGCGTGACTTCACTTTTAAATCAATATTGATCCACAACCACAATTAAGGCATACACTAACATACTAGAGATGTATCCGGCGAATTATTGACATATTGACATCTTAGCGAAGTCGCATTCCAATCTCGAGGTAAGATATACGATAAGCCCTTGTGATAGCGTCACCTATAAGCCGTTGGAGTAATTCGACTGCAGATATAGCAACAGATACGGCTCTTTTTTAGCCCTTTGGAATAGCCGCTTGTAAACGTGGATTTGCCAACTCAGTTCAAATCAACCCTCGGTGACCTTTTGGCGCGCGTTGCATGCCTATGCCTAAGCACAGCGAGGTTCCTGTATTTACTAAACAGAATGTTTACCTACTTTTCTAATGGTTGTTTTTAAATTTCAAACTGTGAGTGGGATATGTCGATAGGTCAGCAATGCGTAGGACTATAAGGGGAAAGGTTATCCTAATAATAAATATAGATGTTTCCAAAAGAATCTGCGATGACACGTATGGCAAAAGTTAAGATGAATGGTTTATTGAGCGATATGTCCTACGGCGAATGTTTTAATGTTTAAACGTGGGGGTTCAGTGTACGGTAGTATTCCATAATAAGCTGTCGTGTCAGAACACTAGCTATCTGAAAAAGATATGTCAAAGGTGGTGGTCCAGTGTTGGTAGTATTCTACTGATAAGCTGCCTTGGTTTGTGTCTGAACTACCTGAGAAAGATATCTCAAACGTGATGGTCCACTGTAGGTAGTATTCTACAATAAGCTGCCTTGGTTTGTGTCTAAGCTACCCGAGAAAGATATCTCAGTCAAACATGGTGGTCCAGTGTTGGTATATAGTATTCTACAATAAGCTGTCGTGGCCGGGTTTGTGTCTGAACTATACCTGAGAAAGATATCAGTCTCAAACGTGGTGGTCCAGTGATGGTAGTATTCTACAATAAGCTGTCGTGGTTTGTGTCTGAACTATGCCTGAGAAAGATATCTCAAACGTGATGGTCCAGTGTAGGTAGTATTCTACAATAAGCTGCCTTGGTTTGTGTCTGAACTATACCTGAGAAAGATATCTCAAACGTGATGGTCCATGCACTGTAGAGTGTAGGTAGTATTCTACAATAAGCTGTCGTGGTTTTTGTCTGAACTACCTGAGAAAGATATCTCAAACGTGGTGGTCCAGTGTTGGTAGTGATTCTACAATAAGCTGTCGTGGTTTGTGTCTGAACTATACCTGAAAAAGATATCTCAAACGTGATGGTCCAGTGTTGGTAGTATTTTACAATAAACTGTCGTGTTTTATGTTTGAACTATACCTAAAAACGATCTGTCCGAAACGTGTGGTGGTTCAGTTTATAGGTAGTATTATTCTACAATGTCATAAGCTGTCATATCTGAACTACCTGAAATTCACGAGATATCTCAAAACGTGGGGGCCCAGTGTGGGCAGCTTACTAGCTTTCTACATTAATTATGCTGCCGTGGTTTGTGTCTGAACTACCTGAAAAAGATATCTCAAACGTGGGATCCAGTGTGGGTAGCTTTCTACAATAAGCTGTTTTGGTTTGTGTCTGAATTACCGAAAAAACGTGGGTATCCAGTGTAGGTAGTATTCTACAGTAAGCTGTCGGTCGTGGTTTGGACTTTGACTAGTTAATGTTTCGAAGGCGTTTCTTCAGGTGATGGGCAAAGAAGATCTCGAAGAAGACTAATTAATCTATTTCCACACCTGGGCAAAATCCCGTGAACAACTATATACCTTAACGTAAATTACATTAGCCAAATTTGAACAGTGAACACTTCACCAACTTAATTGACACATAGGAAGCGTGATATATAAATGATTCCTTTAAAATGCTATCATGCAGCTACCAGAAAGTATGCCGGTGTGAAAATTGAAAATGTTCACCTCGATCGTCTTCCTCGATACCAATTCTTTCTCAAGATCTTGAGAGATTCCACGTTTTCCAAGTCTGTTGGGACCTTGCATGCACCGACCGTAATTGGGGCAACCTGTGGTTGGCTTTCCTAGTCTATGTAGACTGAAGTTTAATAAATCATAAACCAGGCTCGCCATGACTTTAGAATTAATCTTTTTTAAATTACAACATGATTTTGGAATGTGTTACCGAGTCTAGGTGTTACCCTGCGTCGTGGCTGTAATTGTCACCTGTGTATGCATGGGAATTGGCACATGTTGCTGTCCCTCGTCACTATAATTATGGCGCGGTCGTCAGAGCAGTGTGACCAGACCATTGAACTATAAATAAACTGGAAGGCTAACTGCTATGATGAAGGCCTATGATTTGATGAAGCCAAAATAGTTTTTCTGAGTTATGAGCAGAAATACTTGACCCCAAACGTCGGGCTATATATCAAATTGAAGCTATTGAAAATTGCTATTCGGTGTGGAAATTTCAAGACTTCAGCGAAAAGAAAAATATTAAAAAAATACAAAAACAACTGCAAAACGGCAAATTATCGGTAATTATGTTTGTAGTTTTTCATTATTTCCCTTTTACCTAAAGTCTTGAAATTTCTACACCAAATAGCGTTTTTCAATAGCTGCAATTTGATATATAGCCCAACGTTCAGTGTTGAGTATTTCTGCTCATAACTCAGAAAAACTAAAATGCACTGGCTTCAATTTCCCCCCCTGAGTTAGCCTTCCAGTTTATTTATAGTTCAATGGACCAGACTTTTTCAGCAGTCATTACCAAAATTTTGTTCAAATTTTACTAAATTAAGAAAAATTTTACCAAATGTTGGCTTCCCAAATAATTACGTCATGATAATGCCAAAAAACAATAGTTACGTCATCAAAGTAGAAAAAATATTCACAAAAAGTGTCTCCGGAAATACTTGTTGCTTTCATCGTATTGCAGTTTTTGCTAATGATAAGGCTTTATTTCTTAGGCTTGGCAGTTCTGTTCATCACTTTGAGCACGTTATTAAACAAGAAACACACATTTTTACCAACTATTTTTAATAATTCAAACCTTTCAGATTTTACCAAAATTTTACCAAAAGAAACTCATTACCAAACTTTCTTGAAAATTCACGAAATTTTACCAAAAGTAAAACTTTTTACCAAATCTGGTCACACTGCGTCAGAGCAAAGGCCTTTCACCTCTGAGTTCGTGGGTTCGATTCTCGCTGCGGACTCGTGACATTTATGTGAACGCTCTGCCGAAAGTCGTGGGTTTTCTCCGGGCGCTCCGGTTTCCTCCCACAAGGAAAATTGACAGGGTGGGTTCAGGATAAAGCCTATAAACACAGTTAAGAAAGTAATATCACAATTGTTGTAAAGATACTGAAATAGTCTAGGCTCAGTATGTAATTAGATAAGCGTAATACTTTAGTACAGCGCATGAATCACAGGTTTTCTCAAGTGAAACATAAAAGAATTCTTGTTACATTGAAACGCATTCGAAACAATTCGTAACGTTTGCAGGAATTCCTACCAAAAGTTCCGTTTTGAAAAGCACAAAACGATATTGAAAATTGAACGGGTTTCATTTCAGTCCAGAGCAGTGAGTCGAAACGTCGATATTAAATTGAAAATGAAATTGTTGTTCGGAGTTTTCAATATTTTGTACTTTTAACTGAAAGCCGAGAGCCTTCTAGAAGTAACAGGTTGTGTATAAAATAAGTGAATAATTAAAGAACAAAAAGCTCTTAAATTTCTCGAAATTTTTTTAATACTTCTATGCCAGACGGGATGACAGGTAGAAATTTCCGGTATGGCGCTTTCTATACAGCAGATGTTGTCAAACCTGAGCGAGAACTTTTCAATTATTTTCATCTAAACCTAAAATCCTTTTGGCCTTCTTCTCAAAATTACTTTGTTTTAGCTTTATTTTGTAGTTTACACAGTTAGCAACCTTTCTAAATGTATCTGGCGTTTGAGAAACACAAATTGATAGGAGTTAAATATTTTCAATTTAAATACAATCATCGTTGATGCTGTAAAATTGACGCCATATTTATACGGCAATATAAGCAAAACCTATATACTGAACTTCAGACATCATTTTCTCTTTGGCGTACCATCTAAAATCTCTTCATTTTAGCATTATTTTACAGATAAAGCACTATTGCTTGCCGTTTGAGAAGCGTATCAAAAATAAATGGACCTATTCCCTAATGAACAAAATTTTGATCTAGACAAGTCTAGACAAACATTTCACCACAGCTTGAAAGAGCATCACAAAATTAGTAATATTCCGAACTGTTTCGTTGCGAAATGTTGTAAAATGCGGATAATATAGCCCTGAAAAAGGTAGGGCCCATCAATTTCCCGTGCGTAATACAAAATGACTAAAAAACGGCAAACTTCGCAGGGCTATATTATCCGCATTTTACAACATTTCGCAACGAAACTTCGGAATATTACTAATCTTGTGATGCTCTTTCAAGTCGTGATAAAATTTTGTTCATTAGGTAATAGGTCCAATGGACCTATTACCTATTCGCTTAAAACGTACGTTTAACTCTTTCATAATTAAATTAACTCTTCAACTTTTCCGCTTTCTTTCCTGCTGAATCGATGATAAGTAGGATTTTTTGGAACGCGCCCTAATTCTATACGTCATAACGGGATAAAGTTCAAGCCAGTGTCATAAGCGATTGAAAGTTCAGCCGGATATTTTTGACCAAATCCAATTTAATCCTGAGTGCAAACCATTAACAGGCAAGAGCGTAAAAGGCAAAAACGTGACGAGATTGAAACGGATGGTTGTGGGTGGGTTCTCAACAAATCCTAAAACAGTAAAAGGATTTCGTAAAATCAGATTAACTTTTGCATGTCATTGTCTCCGATTGGTGAAATAATTTCTGAGACTGAAGCTAGAGCAGACGTTTTATTGCACTGTAATTGAGTATTTTGACTCAAAAAACGTGAATGATTGCATGAACTTTATCGAAGTGTCAAAATTATTTAACTGCACAGAGTGGAGACACTGGTATATATTTTAATTAAGTACTGTTTAATAAACGAGAGCGCAGCTCTGCCGAGCTCGAGTGTTTTATATCTGATAAAGCATGGATTGCGAATGTAATAAAAGGCTTAAAAAACGACCCATCTGATGCATAAATATCTTCTAGTACACTAGATTGTGCATCTATAGCTAATTATTCTGCAGTTCAAAAATTGAAGCCGTGATTGCAGTGGTCGTTCCCATGAAATGAGAAGATTCGTATGTTTTCTATTTCTTAAACAGGGAACTTAAACATTAAGTTAACCCTATTCCAAATACGTTTTTAAACTACAGCTATT